GGTCCTTGGGAGGTGGCTCTCCAGAGAAGCATTCCTGACATGGTCGTCACCACAGCTGCCCGCTGTCCCCAGGTGTCCCCTGTTTCGTACCTGAGGATCTCCATGAGCCCCGCCCTGCACACCCAGAACAAGGAGGCTCTGGCAGCCCTGCCCCTGGGAGTGACCGTGACCTTCACCGTCCACTTCCACGACAGCTCTGGCGACGTCTTCCATGCGCACAATTCCATCCTCAACTTTGCAACTAACAGGTAGGGTGTGGGTGCCCCCTGGTCCCCTCATGAAGCCAGGTCCCCACTGGACTCAGATTTGGTTCATGCAGGGGACAGGTGACCACGCGGAGAGGCGAACGTCGCTGAAGGGAGAGTTTGTTACTTTCAGTTTCCAAGGGCGGGGGTGCGCCACACCCACAGGGCCACGGGGAGGCACCAGGCCAGGCGGAGGATGGGGGGAGGCGTGGCCAAGAATCTTCATTACCCCACAGTGTAGAATCATTCAGCGGGGACGTCCCCTAACAGGCAGGAAGCGAAACGCAGATGTTGGGCTCTGGCTGGAAGGTTTGTAATAAGACTTGGGCAGCCATGACAGCCGGGCCGCAGGGGAGATGCAGACAAGCCTGGCCACTGGCCTGGCCCTGTGGTCAGTGGACACAAAGCATCAGTTACACCCTCTGCAAAAGCTGGTCGGAGAAGGCGCCAGCAAGGAAGGAGTGCGATGTTCCCTGACGTCTCCTGTGGGCAGGCCCTTCTGTGTGCCGTCTCACTGACTCCTCCCTGTTGCCCATTTGTTGAGGCCCAGAGAGGTCAAGCCACTTGTCCAGGGCCACACAGCCAGGAAATGAAATAGGGTTTGAATACTGGGTCCCATCAGGCTCCAGGGGCAGTTTTTTTTGGCTGACTCTTCTGAAATAGAACTGCAGCCTCAGGCTTAATGTGAAAAGGGGGTCTCCAGGAAGGAGAGCCGTGGCCACGGGCTGGACCTGCAGTTCTCAAGGTGTGGTCCCCAGCCCAGTCACCTGGGAACCCTTAGAGACGCACGTTCACGGGGCCAACAGTGTGTTTTCACAAGGCCTCCAGGTGACCCTGCAGGCTGAGAACCACTGTCCTGGGAGACGCAGGCCCAGCTTAGAGGAGAGGAGAGGCGCCTCAGACCCAGGAGGAAGGAGCAGGGCCCCAGAGTCTCCCGGGCGCAGGAGGTTGTGTCCAGGTGTTGGGGACCACTGTGGCCTCGCCTTCCCACGGGCCCTGCCACAGATGCGTCACTGAACACACCCAGGGCCGGGCGCTGGGGCAAAGAGCGGGGCTTGGAGCGGGGCCTGTGAGCTCGGGCAGGCCACCCTCCAGGCTCCATGTCCACACCTGCCACATGGGAATGTAGCCTGGCCCCTGGGCCATCAGCTCAGGCCGTGGTCCTGAGGGCCCCTGGCAAACCGTGGCGCTCCATGCACACAGCAGGGCATCTGCCGGTCCGGGCCTCAGGCTGCCCTGGAGGGAGCGCAGCTACGAGTCCCAGCGCCCCCGCCTCCCTGCAGAAGCCACAGGCCCTTCCGTGGCTGAAGCATGTGACTCCAGTAGACCAGTCAGGGCTCAGGAGTCAGGAGGCACGGTGCAGGGAGGGGATGAAGCGGAGACCCCGACCTCCCCCGCCCCTCCAGCCTCCCCTCTGGCCCCACGGTGGCTGCTGACATGGAGCGCCCGCTGTGCACTGCGCCCTGGTCTGAGCGCTTCCCAGCTGCTCACCGGGTCTGATGCCCACGTCAACCTGTGACGTACGTTCCTGATCAGCGGATGAGGAAGCAGACGGGGGCAATGCCGCTTGTCCCAGTTATACCGCAGGGGGCGGCCGGTGCCTCCCCGCGTGTCCTGGTTCCCTGCTGGGGTTGGGGGGCTGGAGCACCGGGTACACTTTCCTCTGGGCCTCGGCCTCCCCTCGGGACGTGGGGATGATGCCGTGGGTCCCCCCGGGTTGGTGGGTAAGTCAGGTTTGTGTGGCCTGTGGGTCCCTCACCCAGAGCAGCTGCTCCATGAACGAGAGTTGGGGTGGTGTCTGGGTGCGGTGGGCGGGCGCGTCATCCAGCAGGGACCTTGGGCGGCTCCTCCCTGTGAACTGGGAGCCCCCCCGAGACTGAGAGCCTGCGTCTCCTCCTGTGCCCAGGGACGAGTTTGTGCAGATTGGGAAGGGCACCGCCAACAACACCTGCGTGGTCCGCACAGTCAGCGTGGGCCTGACACTGCTCAGAGCCTGGGACGCGGAGCACGGGGGCCTCTCCGACTTCGTCCCACTGCCCGTCCTGCAGGCCATCTCCCCAGAGCTGTCCGGAGCGCTGGTGGTGGGGGATGTCCTCTGTCTGGCCACGGTTCTGGTCAGCCGGGAAGGTAAGAGAGCTCTGTCCGAGGGGATGCTCGAAGCCATGGGCACAACCAGATGGGGTGGATGCCCTGGGCGCTCGGCCTCATGGGGGGCAGGTGCTCAAGTAGAACCTGGGGGTGTCCTAGAGCAGGGGCCGGAAGACTGCTGCCCCCTACCAGGCTTCCCGTGTTTGCTAAGAGGACTTCTTTGGAACTCAGCCACCCCACTGCGTCTGTGCGTTGCCGGTGGCCCTTTTCACGCTGCCTTTGCTGGGCTGAGCAGTGGCGTCAGAGACCCTCGGGCCTACACGCCCCGACACGTCGTCTGGCCTTTGCAGAGAAGGTTGCCACCCTGCTCTAGGAGTTTTCTGCCCGTGTGGAAATGCCCTGCAGCTACACCGTCTGCCCCGGCACCATGAGCCACGGGCACCAGAGACGTGGCCAGGGCAGCTGAGGCAGTGGTGATCTCACCGGGATCGGCTCCGTGGCCGGGGCTGCTGTGCCAGGCCACCAGCCCTGGGAAGGAGCCTTGGCCCTGCACAGCTGTAGGGCTGGGGGGTGACTCCCTCGCCGCCCATACATCCGCGAGCCACAGGGACTGTTATTTACTTAGTTTTTTTTCAAATTGACTCCCTTTTTTGAACCTAATTAAATTCATCTTTAAAGGAATAAATTTAAAAAGGAATAAATGAACATTGCCTTTAAAGAAAAACATATCATTAGTTGCAAATAGAACATGGCTATTGAATTTTTTCATCATATTTATTACATGACGAGATTGGCTTTTCACTAAGGACCGCTGTCTAGTGACAGCCCTGAGCTGCACAGAGGGAGTGGCTGAGCAGGGTGCGGGGACAGGGACAGTACATGGGGGAGGTGTGCAGCAGGCTAGCCCTGGAGGGTCAGCACCCGGCTCATCCCAGGATGGGGAATGACCGAGAGAGTCCAAGCAGGGAGGCGTCATGTGGGGCAGGGCGACGGCTGTGCAGAGAGCAGGGGCGCCAGGAGAAGGGAGATGGCCCCAGGTGGCCGCAGCCAGGAGCACGAGGGGAGGCGCCGTGGAGCGCAGAGGCGGGGCGGCCAGGACGCCACCCAGGTGACAGGGTGGCTGGAGGGCCAGGCATGGGAAAGGCAGGTCACATGTAGGCTTCCTGTCCCAGGTGTCCCCGGGACCTGGAGCTCGTCTGCCAGCAGCGTCCTCCACGTGGACCCCAAGACAGGCGTGGCCGTGGCCCAGGAGGCAGGATCTGTGACTGTTTTCTATGAGGTCGCTGGGCACCTGAGGACCTACAAGGAGGTGAGGCTTGGGGCGCTCGTGGCTGACCCTCTTGGGATGGAGCCCTAAGCTTTCAATACTGAGCGATTCTCTTTTCTCTAAGAAAAAGGCCCCAGCACCCTGGGAGGCGGTCAGGATGGGGTGTCACGACCCTGCCGTGAGGGCAGCTTCCCCTCTCCTACCGGGGTAGCGTCTCCCCTGTTCGCCATGGTGTGAGCACAGAGGTGGCCTCCTGGGGGATCCCAGTGCCTTCGCACTGTGGCCTTGAGGCTGAGCCCCGAGGGCAGGACTGTCCACTGGGGGTGTGCCCTGGGAGTCCCGGCCATGGGCGGCCCCGTGTGGCCATTTGGTGTCACCGGCAAAGTTAAACTCCCCCAGCAAGTCACCTTTTGAGTCTTTCTGGAAGCAAACAAAATTGCTCTCCTCCTATTTCTCTCCAGCCGAGAGTGAATCAGTGAGCAGAGCCTGGCCGCCTTCCACGTGTCTCATCGTTAGAGCCAGCATGTGCTCTGTGGAGTCCAGCAGTTTAACCTAATAGCACACATGTTCAGTGCGGCAGCTCTGCAGCTGGGGCCAGCCCCCTGCACATAGAGACACCTTGGGGCTAATAAAGCAACACCCTCCCAGAAGCAGCCCGGCCAGGGCCAGGGTAGGGTGGGGGTTGCTGGCAGAGGAGGGCATGGCCTGGCAAAGGTGTGTGGGGTTCAGGAGCAGAGTCCTGGGGCTGGATCCTGGGATGTAGGGGATGGCATTGTGATCAGATCACGACATGCCTTCGATTCTGGGTAGCTCCTGGAGTGGTTACGCATACGGGCTCTGGGGCCAGGCTGCCTGGGTTCACATCCCAGCTGGGCCACTGAGAGGCTGTGTGACCTTGGGCAAGTTATTTAGCCTCTCTGTGCCTCAGTTTTCTCACCTGTAAAATGGGGATACTATTATTGCATGAAACACTTAGAATGGTACTCAGCACACAGCAAGCGCTTAGTCGGTATTGGCTGCCCCTGCTCAGGGTGAGAGGGTGAAACTCATGCCGGGTGCAGTGCGGGAGGGATTATCGGAGCTTCTTTTAAGCAAAGACCGTTGCAGATCAGAGGTGTGTCTGGAGAGACGGCCGGTGCCTGGCCGAGTCTAAGGGCCTGAGGGGAGGGGAGCTGCTGCAGGGTGGCAGCTGGGAGGTGGAAGCTGGGCCCTGGCTGGTGCCCCCGGGTGGGTTTGGGGAGATGGGGGAAGGAGGGTTGTTAGAGCCTGGTGACTGGCAGTGGGGCTAGAGGGGAGAGGAGGCCTGGGGGGACGAGTCTCCAGGTCTGGCTTGGGCAACCAGGTGGGTGATGGCCCTTTGCAGAGAGGGGGCCACAGAAGGGCTGGTGCTGAGGGAAGGGGCTGGTGAACTGGAGGGGGTTGTGGCTCTTCCAGGTGGGGCTGGTGGTGACGCGTCTGCAGCTCCAGGTGGCTGGGGGCAGGGTGGTGAGGGAGGGTCTGCAGTACAGACAAAATCGGAAGCCCTGGGAGTGGCGGGAACGCGCAGGGCCTACCGGAGCAAGTCGGGAGTGGGGTCAAGGCCTTGGGGCCTCCCCCAAGAGGAGACTGCAGATTGGGGTCAGGAGCAGAGAAGACGGGTGGAGGGAGGTACCAGGGCAGGGGCATGGGGACCGCTGGTCAGTCCGGAGGTGGAGGGGCCAGCTTCCAGTCTGCCTCCAGTGCTGCGGGGGCCCTGGGGAGGAGGGAGACCCAGAGCCCGGATGGCCTCCTGCCCGGAGGCGGCGGAGAGCTCGTCCTGCCTCAGGAAGGCGTGCGGCGGGGTGTTTGGGTGCAGCGGTTGGTGGGGAGGGGGTGGGCAGGGAGAAAGCCTCGAAGACTGGCGTAGCCCCCACCACCAGGCAGTGTGAGCTTGCGTCTGGTCGGGTCAATTTATTTTGAATAAGTGACAATGAAGTGAAGTGGCATCTTCTCTTTTTGCTGAGAGATGAATTAACCAAATTGATGTGCAGAGACGTGATTGTCGCTGTCAGGGGAGCCCAAATCGGCCTCCCACCTCCAACTGCCAAGTGAATCCAGGCGGGCTGTTCCGCCCCGGCCTGCTCTGCGGCTGGGAGCAGCCGCCGTTCCCATGGGGAGTCTGAGCAGCCTGGGGCCACCACATCCCAGCCAGCTCGGTTTTGTCCCCTGTACCTTGAAAAGGGCAGTACCCACGTCACAGATGCCTGGCCATACACGGTCAGCGCTCATGGACGCGGCCTTGGCTCCCTCCACAGATCGTGATCAGCGTCCCTCAGAGGATCGTGGCCCGGTACGTCCGCCCCGTCCAGACCGGCTTCCAGGAGGTTGCGGCCTCCAAAGTGATGGTCACCGTGGGAGACCGGAGCTCTAACCTGAGAGGTACGGCGTGGGGGGCTCGGGCGGCCGTGGGCCCTGCGGGCTGGGGAGTGGGGCGGGCGTCTCGTGCCCTCCGACGACTTTGGTCTGCTCTTCCTACTCACACTCGAGCCAGCACCTAACCCAGCTGGCCCGAAATCCGAGTGCTCCACAGCAGAAGCAGTGACGGGATCTTCCTGAAAGAGCCCGGCGTCCAGCAACTGCCTGTTTCTGGGCTGGAGACGCGCTGTCCGCCCCAGGGCACCCTAGCAAAGCCGAAACTCACCACCATCCATCCCAGGAAATAATGGCTTAGCAGGCCTCCCCGCCGACTTCGATTCTCCCCAGTCACGCACAGAACATTCGACCTCACCCCCTGCCCGTGACTGCCCTGGACAGCAGCTGCCAGAAACAGATACATCAACACAGGCTGTTTTTTAACCACTTGACGGGTAGAACTAAGTACCACCGTCCTCGTTCTGATGATGCTTTACTGCGTCCGGGACGAGCAGACAGTACTGCGCACTTACCAGAATGGTGCTCAGGGCATTAGCGGGGACTGGCACCCTCCTGACGTCCAGGAGTAAATTGCCCGTCTCCCCTGTTGACAGGGACAGACGACACGCACCAGTGGGCCTGACCCATCTGCCGTGCCACTGGACGCGGTGTCAGGAAAAAAATGCTGTGTTTGCCCCTGATCCAGAATCACCCCTCCCCTATAATTCGTCCTCAGCTTTCCGAAACTGCAGCACCATCACGTCGGGAGGAGCATGGTGTGGGTGCCAGTTCGCGGGCGGCCAGCCTTTGTGTGGCTTGCTCGTGCGTCCTCCTGCTGGAGGTCTGCCTCGGGGGCCTCGAGGGGGCGGCCAGCAGGCCCACGCCCTTCTCCCCTCTCCAGGCGAGTGCTCCCCTGCCCAGGTGGAAACCATTGCGGCCCTGCGCCCAGAGTCCCTCCTCAGCTGCCAGCTGCAGTTCAAGCAGGACGACTTTGACTTCCCAGCACGAGAGGTGTTCACGGCAGAACCGGAGTTTGACGCTGCTCTGGGTAAGTCCGCCAGTGCTGGAAGCCAACGCTGACCTGCGCGGAGGGTTTGCCTTCAGTGCACCTGGCTCACGATGGCCAGCGGTCCGGGGTCGGGGTGGGGGCAGCGTCCTTCAGGAGCCCAGCCTGGGACTGGTGGCATCGTCACCCTGGCCTCTGGGTCACTGTGGCCACCGGGAGGGGCCGGCATCCCTGGGCCAGGTCTTGGCCACTCTAAGCAGCCACCGACCCGTGGCAGAAAGGACTTGGCACAGACTGGGGAAACCTGGTTCCCAGCCCTTCCTGTTGCCGGCCTGACGGGGTAGGGGGGCACTGAGAGGGATGGAAAGGTCCTTACTCAGTAGCTGAGGGCCAGGCGGCATATAGAGAGTGCAGCTGCCCGGTGACCGGGCTGCGGGTGACACCATGGGCTGGAGCGGCACCGGCTCGCTCGCTCCCAGAGGCAGGCCACCTGTCAGGGGCTGCTGTGGGCAGTCGGAAGGACAGTGCCTGCCACGTGCTCACGCTGCGTCCTCAGTGGGACCGGCTGTGATGAGAGTGACTGGACGAGCATGTGGCTCATCTTCAGATCTTTCCAAGACCTTGCGGCCCCACCTTCCCAGGGGAGATTAGCGGCCACATGACGCGGGTCCGTGAGCCCAGATGTGGCTCCCAGGGGCCTGCGAGGCCCTCCTGTCCTGTGCTCGCTCTGGCGGCAGCACTCAGCATCCTGAGTCAGGAGCTGTGTCCTCAGGGCCCACTGTGTGCAGTGCCTGGGCTCGGGGCTTCGTGCAGGGTAGGCACTTGGTGGTCCCAGGCCCTGCGTGTTTCCCCTGCACAGCCTCACAAGGGGTGCAATGTTACCTCCACTTGACAAGGGAAACGGGGCCAGCAAGGAAGCCAACTCGCCTGGGGGCACCTGGCCGGTGGGGCATAGAAGGGACCCCCAACCAAGGCATCCTGGTTTCCAAGGCCCTGCTCCACGGTGTTCATTCAGCTCATTCACCTGCTGTGGGTCAGGCACGGGCCAGGCGTGCACAGAGCATCCTGCTGCCCCTGGGCCGGCGGCTGTCCAGGAGTCAGCCCCGCTTGACGCGCGGCCAGTGCTGGGCCGTGCTCACCATTCCCTTGTCCTTGTTCTGAGCCAGGCTGGCTGGGCCCTGAGGGACAGGGGCTCAGGGGACGTCAGTGCACTGGGATGTGGTGAACAGAGGAGCCAGAGACGGCGAGGGGAGCGCTGGTCACAAAGCGGGTGTCCAGGGCGGGCCGGGGCACCGAGGAGGGGCTTCCCAGGGGGTCCCTGAGGGTGGCGGTGCCTCCCCTGGGCTCTGCAGGGTGAATAGGAGTCCTCCAGTCGGAGCAGCAGGGAGGAGGCACAGCCCCAGGCTGGGTGGAGAGGGGACGACGCCCTGGTCTCCGCAGGCCGGTACCTTTGCTCCATCACGATGCTCAGGCTGACGGACAAGCAGCTGAAGCACCTGAGCATGAGGAGGACGGCGCTGCTGGTCACTGCCTCCATCCCGGGCAGCCGTGTCTCCGGAGAGCAGGTCGGGGCCGAGGTACCTTTCAGCCCAGGGCTTTACGCCGACCAGGCCGAAATCCTTTTGAGCAACCACGACACCAGCTCCGAAGTCAAGGTCTTTGGCACCGTGGAGGTTCTGGAGAACCTGGAGGTGAGTGCTGCCCTCGCAGAAGCTGGGACACCAGAGAGGGTCAGGATGAGGCAGGACCAGGTGGAGCGTGGAAACCCTGGACCGCCTCTCTTTAGGATCTAAAATTTAAATTAAAAATTCAAAGAAGTTAACACCCCCCTTTCCTCTTCCCATGCTGACCGTCAGCCAGTGTGAGTGCACGAATTGTCAGGACGGCTGCCGGTCTCCTCAGCTGGAGGAGAGGGGCGGGGCCTGCCCGACAGCCCGCGAGCGCTCAGCGAACATGTCCCGTGTTCCATGAGTGACTTCAGGGCAGGAACGCAGGCTGCCAGGGCAGGAAGGAAAGTTCTAACCCCTAACTGATCGCTGATCCCGCACGCGGGGACCATTGTGTGCGTGTCTCCGGGCCTGGGTGTCCCCGGCTGCTGAGTGGTGGTGCGTGACGCCACCGGCCTGGAGCCCAGCAGGCTGGGAGGAGGGTCGGGGCAACGTGAAACGGGCTCGCTGGCATCTCTGCCGCTCCCTCCTCTGCGGCTGAACATCTTCAGAGCGAGACAGGAGTGAATGCGCTGGGGGGCGTGGAGGGCCCACCAGGCTCCAGGCTGCCCCTCAGGAAGCTGGCCTTGGGAGATCACGCATGTCTCTGTTTAAGGGGTGCTTGGTTAGAATCCCGTGATACTGGTGTGTCCTTTCCTTAGACACGCCCCAGAATGGCGGCGCACTTCTCTGGCTCTGGGGCCGCAGGCTGACGGTCAGAAGGGCCCAGGCAGCGTTGCTGCCTGGGGAGGGCGCCTGGCAGGGTCCCCCCTCAGTCTGCAGGCTGGGAGGGCAGCACGGCCATCAGACCCAAGTTCAGCCTCGGCATCTCTCCCAGGTGAAGTCAGGGTCCCCAGCCGTGCTGGCCTTCGTGAAGGAGAAATCTCTAGGGCTGCCCAGCTTCATCACCTACACGGTCGGCATCTCGGACCCCGCGGCCGGCAGCCGTGGGCCTCTGTCCACCACCCTGACCTTCTCCAGCCCCATGACGAACCAGGCCATCACCGTCCCGGTCACTGTGGTCTTTGTGATGGATCGCCGAGGGCCTGGGCCTCGTGAGTCGGGGCGGGACACCCTCGGGGAGGGACGGGCCAGAACGGTCCAGCTGGGAGTGGAACGGGGGCGTCCGGGGGCTGCTGGAGGAGCCACAGCTGCAGATGCCCCCAGAGTGAGTCACTGACGCGCTGTCCTGCGGGCTCTGCTTCCTCGGAGGCCAGGGGGCCCTGTTACAGGGGATTGGAGAGCGCCCCTCCTGTGCTCGCCGCTCTGCGCGGCCCCC